AGAAGAACATAATAACCATTTATGCAGGCATCACAACTACCAAAATAAAATCAGAGACAGTGTGCCCTGCCCCTATCCAGTGTCTCCTATGTTTTCTTTTGATATGACATCATCTGGTGACCATGGGGACCATCTGTCATTATTTTATTTAATAAGTATAGAATGATTTTTGGAATAGTTGTAAAACACTAGAATGTATTTCTGTGTGAAAAAACCTCTGGAACAACCACATGTTCTTTATTAGCATGTCATTGGGTACTATAGCTCCCTGAACTTGTTTGTGCACAAATGTTGATATCACACATTCAGGTACACCTAATATGCCACACATGAACATAGTGCATGTTCAGCAGAGTATAAAAATCTGTTTGTTCCATGCACATGACAGTGGTCTTGTACATCATGCTTAACTCCTCCTCTTTAATTGCTTCTCAAAAAAAGGAATCCTTTCCAATATGACATTTTTCTCATGTTTTGTGATATTTTGCTTTAGTAGGCATATTTCACTAATTTATACACATGGTGGCTGTTGCTTTTTGCTACAAATGTTACTGTAAAACATTGTTTGTTTTTTTTTCAATTTTTCATGCACTTCATGAAAGTCTTGATACCCTCACAGGGTATCCTGTATACCCTTAGGACATAACTGCTCTTCTGTAGCAGAGGGTTACCCTCCAAGTACTGGTGCATAATCTTGTTTGTCAAACTGGGTGCAGATTTGAGATTTTCTCTCTCCATGTCCTGAGCAGATCAACAAGAATAGTGCACATTTTCAGTTTTTGCACTTGGCCCTCAGCATAAATCCAAATGCAAGGAAGATGAAATGGTTTCTTGTTTATGCAGGACATTGTATGCAGTATGCCTTCTTGGACAGAAGAGAGGTGTTTCAGGTCTAGGGGAGGGTCAGTGATTCACATTGAAACCAGTATTGGTTGATTCATGGCACTTAGATTCATCCAGAAACAGTACAGCTCAAACTAGTGAAAAATCTTTCAAACTGATAACCTGGTGTGCCTAAGCACTATCAATATTAATCAATATCCTTGTAACTAACACCTATTTGAGGATGGAGTGGATCAGGCATGAAGGCAGTATGACACAGGATGTGAATCAAGCACATCCAACTCTCTTCTCTCACTTGCCAGAATTCATGCAATATTCAGTTGGATTTCTCATTGCAGCATTTTACCTCTGCCTTTAATTCCTTCCATGCATAGGCAAACCTCCAAACTTTTGATTTGGTTTCCATTTTCACTGCAGCACAGAGCATGGCAGCATCCATAAACCTTTTTGTTAAATGTTTTTTATAGAAGCTAAAAAATTGGTACCTTTCCCATTATTAGAGTTAAGGAGGTATGACTTCTTTAATGAACCTACTCTAATTCTCATGAAGATATAGCATGACTTCATCTGTGTCTAACCTCATCCTTCTTCCCTCTTTTAGAATTTGGAAAATAACATTCCTGACTTCATTTATATGTATTTTCTTGAATTTCTGCTAATTTCCATCTCCAAATCATCATAGCTGGTTAGTTTTATGCTGTGGGTTGCAACAGATATGCAGAAGACTCTATTTAAAATACCAAGTAATTGCTGAGCTGACAAAACTGCATCATTATTAGCTGTTGCTGGGTGAATTAGATAAGCTGGAGGTCACTCGTTCCATGGAAAACTATATAGCCCTGGCAGAATAATTTGAGCACCCTACTTGAAGCTATAAGTTTACAATGGGAAAAAAGGCTCCAGAAGATGCATTAGTCATTCATTTTAAACCTTTAGTGCTTGTTCATATCTATCTACTGGTTCTGTAGTAGTAATTATTATTGTTGATATTCCACTACTATATTGAGTGTTCAAATAAATCTGACAGGGATTTGTATAACTTTTCCCCATTGATCAAGGCATAAGGATGATTTGACCAGACCAAGCTCTTTTTATATTTCATGTAAATGAATTGTTAGATTATTAAATGATAAGTTACACTGCAAGTCAATAGTTCAATATTTTTCATGCAAATCCCTATTAGATTAATTTAAGCATCCATCAAAGTAGTGGAATATAAACACTAATTGTTATTGTTAAGAAAACAGGACATGGACACAAGAGACTGGTTGAATTTTGAAAAAATAATATTTTAGGAAGGATATATAGCAGGATAATGAAGCATACGTTAGATTATAGTCTTTTTTTTTTTCAGGTTCATCTCTCCTATGTTCTATAAGAGTCTTCCATCAGCAAAACATTTCTATATGGTTCTGGAATCAATTGCTTGGAAAAGGAAGCTTTTTTGGTATTTCTTTAATTATTTGGATAATTCTTCTTCAATTGTGTTCAAGATTTGCAATTGCACACTATAAAAATGACTTCACATGACCCCACAGAGAAAAAAATCATTGGGGTCAGGTCATGTGGCCTAGGAGCACATGAAAGTGAGCCATACCTTCTTTCCATCATCCAGGGCAGAAACATGCAGAAAATTTTGAGCTTCTTAGAAAAGTGTCTGTAATCTTGCTGAAAAACTGCATTTGTAATAAAATATTTTCCTTCAAGTAAGATCCTAAAAATTATCTCATAAAACTCATTGCATCTCNAACTCATGTGTGGAGGGGGAATGGGAGTTGAGACCTGTTCTTTTTCTTTCCTTCCCTCTTTCACCCTTACTTGGTCAAAGTAATTTTGGTCAAACTAATGACCAAAGTGGGAGGAGGGGCAGGGGGGGAGGTTTTCTTGACCAGCAAGAAAAAAAAGCATATCTTTTCAAAATTCTTGCAATTTTATCTGAGTTTCCAGTTTTAATAATATCAAACAAATGCACTTCTATCATATAACCTTCCAGCCATCAGTACATGCATGTCAACATACCTCAACATACATACCTATACCGGCACACATGCTGAGTGAATTGGTTCTCTAGAGAGAGGACACAATACAATAATAGGTAAAATAGATTATATTTTTGTCAATATTCTTCCAGTATCTGTTCAAATACTTTCCAAATGACAATTAGATAATTTTCAGAATATTTCATCATCATTTAGTATACAAGAATGCTATTAGTATGGGTAGTGGATCAAAACAATCCCCTCCCCCCCTTTGCCAATTAAAGGTCAGATGTCACTATGTGAGTATCAGAGGTGTGTCTAGCACTTTCTTGCTCTTATCTCAGGAACTATGTCATGGAACAGAATGAAGAGATCAAAGAGAACTGATAGGATCCAGAGAGCACATGGGTCACACTTTGAAATGAGGAGTGAAATAATCTTATTCATAATCATGGTGCAGAAGAATTGGAACCTTTTCATCCTCCATAAAAATTTTTATTGCCTTCAATTGTCACATTCTCAATATTGACATTTTCTTGAGCTTTCAATGTTTGAATAAGATCTACTCTTTATCTCAACTTTTCCATTTACAGTTCTGGAGACTTTCCTTTAGATCTTCATTTCTCAAATTATCCTCTGTTTTATTTTTAATGTTCTCAACTTTGCATGCCCAGTGTTGAGACTATCTTCTCAAATTCTTGTGATTCCCTTCTCCTGTACAATGGTGCACTCTTTGACCTCCTTTTTCTCTTTTTTTTATCTCTTCCTTTTTTCCTAATTTTGCGTGATGCCTCCCTCCACTCTTACATTATTTGGTCTGTCTTCCTGTCTTTCTTGGAAACCTCTCGAAAAAATCAATTCTTTGTCTTTATCAGACTGATGCAATAGCCCACCAAGAATGAGACCATTAATTGTTATGTTCTCCAGATCAGAGGAATCACTCTTCATGACTTATTTCAAATTTCATAATCTGAAGTGTTTTTAATTTTTGCTGTTTTTTTCAGTATTTCTTACATTTCTGTCTTACGTTTTGCAGCAAATTGCTTGTGACCCCATCATTTTTGTATGGTTTGAGAGAGTTGCCAAACCAGAAAGGCACAGCTCTGCTGTCAGTAAAGAGGTCACTCTCAAAGATTGTAAAGATCACATCCAGAAAGTCCAAACCAGAAGTCATCACATTCAAGTATGGAGTCCCCACTGGAGAAGAATTCATCATTACTGATATGGACAAGTGAGTCATAGTTTTTTTTTTTTACCCTTTTTTCCTAATGTGGCTTTTATGACAGCCATTTTTTCATTGACTTTCTTCATCTCATACCTTCCAGGTTCATCATTCCTGATGCATTCAATGCAACACGAATCATCAAACTGCAGATAGTGAAGCTCAACCAGGATGAAGAGTCTGAAGAGACCAGTGAAGCACAAAAGAATGAACCCCAAAATGAAACGTCACTCCCTCCATCAAGTCATGAGCCAGAATCTAAACCAGATTCTGAAGCTAAGCAGGACCCACCACAAGATTTGCAATTGACAAATGAGTCATCTGAACAGGTTCCAAATTTTCCGCCTGCAGCCTCCAAGGGCAATGCACCAGAAGGAAAAGAGCACTCTGGAGAGTCTATCACTTAGATTTATGCATCTCTACAGTCTTTTTTCATGCAATCCACATCCATATCCTCTGTTGTGATTCCTTTTTTTTTGTGTTCTTATGTCCCATTCCATAATTACTTTTCTTCAAATTATTTCATATTTGGAATTTTATGATGCGGTAAGTGATAATCGTAATCAGCATGTACTATGATTGTCTCCTTAGCAAATAATTATGAAGAACTATAATATATAAATGATTATGGAACATGATTTCTATGTTTGTGAAGCTAAGTATGTGAGACATTCTAAATAATATGATTGTCAATTGGTGAGGGATAGAAATATTCTTGTCACTTTTTTCATCCTAAGTCATGTGTGATCCATGTCAGAGAGAAATCTTGAATTTTGAATCATTGGTTCAGAAATAAACTGTTATTTGGATTTTATGCACTCTTTCATTCCTGAATAGTTTTTCACTTCTGAGTCTTGGTCTATGTGTGTCCTTAAAAAGTTATTGTATGTACTTTACCAGAAGTGCAATGCTTGTGTGTTTTTCCAGCACAATAATAATTGTTACTGCTTAGGGTTTTTTTTTCTGGCATTTGTTGCTAAAAGGAAAATTGTGAGGTCATGGTTCCAGTGATTGTTCATGAAGTTTTTTGTGAGACCTATATGATCTTTACTTTCGACATCAAGGATAGATGGGTTGCTCCAGAAAGGAGGCAGCAGACCTGATTCTTAGGGAATCTCCAAGTTTTGCTTCCTCTGGAAACAGTTGTAGTGAAATGAGATATCTTTTTACTGTTCAAAATGAAACTGAATGGTACCACTGCATCATGTAACTTTCTATAACCCCTTGTCTCTGATTATTCTCTCTAGGTAGNAACTCATGTGTGGAGGGGGAATGGGAGTTGAGACCTGTTCTTTTTCTTTCCTTCCCTCTTTCACCCTTACTTGGTCAAAGTAATTTTGGTCAAACTAATGACCAAAGTGGGAGGAGGGGCAGGGGGGAGGAGGTTTTCTTGACCAGCAAGAAAAAAAAGCATATCTTTTCAAAATTCTTGCAATTTTATCTGAGTTTCCAGTTTTAATAATATCAAAAAAATGCACTTCTATAACCTTCCAGCCATCAGTACATGCATGTCAACATACCTACCTACCGGCACACATGCTGAGTGAATTGGTTCTCTAGAGAGAGGACACAATACAATAATAGGTAAAATAGATTATATTTTTGTCAATGTTCTTCCAGTATCTGTTCAAATACTTTCCAAATGATAATTAGATAATTTTCAGAATATTTCATCATCATTTAGTATACAAGAATGCTATTAGTATGGGTAGTGGGTCAAAACAATCCCCTCCCCCCCTTTGCCAATTAAAGGTCAGATGTCACTATGTGAGTATCAGAGGTGTGTCTAGCACTTTCTTGCTCTTATCTCAGGAACTATGTCATGGAACAGAATGAAGAGATCAAAGAGAACTGATAGGATCCAGAGAGCACATGGGTCACACTTTGAAATGAGGAGTGAAATAATCTTATTCATAATCATGGTGCAGAAGAATTGGAACCTTTTCATCCTCCATAAAAATTTTTATTGCCTTCAATTGTCACATTCTCAATATTGACATTTTCTTGAGCTTTCAATGTTTGAATAAGATCTACTCTTTATCTCAACTTTTCCATTTACAGTTCTGGAGACTTTCCTTTAGATCTTCATTTCTCAAATTATCCTCTGTTTTATTTTTAATGTTCTCAACTTTGCATGCCCAGTGTTGAGACTATCTTCTCAAATTCTTGTGATTCCCTTCTCCTGTACAATGGTGCACTCTTTGACCTCCTTTTTCTCTTTTTTTTATCTCTTCCTTTTTTCCTAATTTTGCGTGATGCCTCCCTCCACTCTTACATTATTTGGTCTGTCTTCCTGTCTTTCTTGGAAACCTCTCGAAAAAATCAATTCTTTGTCTTTATCAGACTGATGCAATAGCCCACCAAGAATGAGACCATTAATTGTTATGTTCTCCAGATCAGAGGAATCACTCTTCATGACTTATTTCAAATTTCATAATCTGAAGTGTTTTTAATTTTTGCTGTTTTTTTCAGTATTTCTTACATTTCTGTCTTACGTTTTGCAGCAAATTGCTTGTGACCCCATCATTTTTGTATGGTTTGAGAGAGTTGCCAAACCAGAAAGGCACAGCTCTGCTGTCAGTAAAGAGGTCACTCTCAAAGATTGTAAAGATCACATCCAGAAAGTCCAAACCAGAAGTCATCACATTCAAGTATGGAGTCCCCACTGGAGAAGAATTCATCATTACTGATATGGACAAGTGAGTCATAGTTTTTTTTTTTTACCCTTTTTTCCTAATGTGGCTTTTATGACAGCCATTTTTTCATTGACTTTCTTCATCTCATACCTTCCAGGTTCATCATTCCTGATGCATTCAATGCAACACGAATCATCAAACT